GGAGGGCGACGACCCCCCAGGGCCGGCCGTATATCGCCCACATCCTGGACCAGCTGGAGGGGCTGCAGCCGGCACCGCCTGGCCAGGACACCACCCGCATCTGAGCCCTGCGCCCCCCCCCCGGGGTGGGTTTCGAAACACGGTGTTAGCACAGCCGTGCCCCCTGCTCCCATTGGGCGAGCACAGCTGCTCGCTGTGGAGGCTGCAGGCTCACGGCCTCCCCTGGGAGGGCCTGGCTGCCCAGAGCTTGCTTGTGCGGGGCTGGGGGCAGTGCCCACGGCGCAGCTTCAAGGGGCCCTTGCCCAGCTGCAGTGGTCTCATGCACGGAGCGGGGTGGGAGCAAGGCAGTGCTGGGCTCGGTGTCACCGGTGCCGGCTGGGCAGAGCCCAACCTCACTGGGCACCAAGCGGTCACATTCCTGCTGGCGCAGGCGCGGGGCCCAGCCCGCCGGATGCTGTCTGGAGCTTGTGTCTATTCACGTGTCCATCCAGTAAAGCTTCTTTACAGAAAAAAGCATTCCTGGCCTGTGGGGCTGGTGGGAGGGGGGAGCACGAAGCCACGGGAGATGGGAGCACAGGTTAACACCGCCCCAGCTAGGGTGGGGCCGAGGTATGGCCAGTGGGTAAATGCAAACATGGGGCCCAGGCACAGCTGCGCCAGGGGCTGCTCAGCGCCTGCCCCACAGAGGGAGGGGCCTCTGGCCACTCCAAGTGCAGGCCGGGACCTGGCACTGGCCCTGCTCAGCCAAGCATAGGCAGCAGCTCTGGGCACAGAGCCAAGGGCCCCGGGGTAGGGCCCTGCCTGCGACACACTGGAGCTGAAAGCCCTGCTGCCTTCCCTCTCCCAGGCAGAGCTGTGGGGCTGTGCTCCACCCCACAGCCGTGGCAGGCCCAGGGTGGCACCCGCGGGAGGCGGCCGGTCCAATGTTACACAGCTGGCTACGCACAGACCCAGGGCAAGGGAGGCGGGCGTCCTACCTCCAGGGCCTCAGGCCTACTGCCCCCCCCTCCAAGTTCCCCATGGGGCAAGGTGGTCCCAACCCCAGAACAAACCAAGTGTCCCTTGGGCATCCTGCCACCCCATGCCTCGGCCCCAGATTCACCCCTCCCCTGCCCCTGGGCTGTGGGTCAGGCAGGGGCCAATGGGGCAGATGTCTTGTGTCCCCCCCCTGCTCCCCAGGCCTGGTGCCAGGGTACAGCTGCCCTGCCCCCCGCAGCCTCTGGGGCCCCCCCAGGCAGCAGCACCAGGAGCCTGGGGAGTGACGGAGCTAGGGTACTGTGCACATGTTGGGGTCTGCCAAGAAACCAGACGAGCCGAGGGCTGGAGCCAGCTGCGGAGACCATTTATTGGTAGAGGGGGCTGCGGGGAGTACAGGAGAGCGTGGGGCTGGGGGTGGCACGGCCTACTCCTCCCCCTCTTCCTCATCCTCATAAGAATCAATGCCCACCTCTTCGTAATCCTTCTCCAGGGCGGCCATGTCCTCACGTGCCTCTGAGAACTCCCCCTCCTCCATGCCCTCACCCACATACCAGTGCACGAAGGCGCGCTTGGCATACATCAGGTCAAACTTGTGGTCCAGGCGGGCCCAGGCCTCTGCGATGGCCGTAGTGTTGCTGAGCATGCACACGGCGCGCTGCACCTTGGCCAGGTCGCCGCCGGGCACCGCCGTCGGGGGCTGGTAGTTGATGCCCACCTTGAAGCCGGTCGGGCACCAGTCCACGAACTGGATGCTGCGCTTGGTCTTGATGGCGGCAATGGCAGCGTTGACATCTTTGGGCACCACATCGCCGCGGTACAGGAGGCAGCAAGCCATGTACTTGCCGTGGCGGGGGTCGCACTTCACCATCTGGTTGGCCGGCTCAAAGCAGGAGTTGGTGATCTCGGCCACCGACATCTGCTCGTGGTAGGCCTTCTCAGCCGAGATGACGGGGGCGTAGGTGGCCAGGGGGAAGTGGATGCGGGGGTAGGGCACCAGGTTGGTCTGGAACTCCGTCAGGTCCACGTTGAGGGCCCCGTCGAAGCGCAGCGAGGCTGTGATGGACGACACGATCTGGCTGATGAGGCGGTTGAGGTTGGTGTAGGTGGGGCGCTCGATGTCCAGGTTGCGGCGGCAGATGTCGTAAATGGCCTCGTTGTCCACCATGAAGGCGCAGTCCGAGTGCTCCAGCGTGGTGTGCGTAGTCAGGATGGAGTTGTAGGGCTCAACCACGGCTGGGGAGACCTGTGGCGCCGGGTAGATGGCGAACTCCAGCTTGGACTTCTTGCCGTAGTCCACGGACAGGCGCTCCATCAGCAGGGAAGTGAAGCCGGAGCCGGTGCCTCTGCCCGGGACAGCCTCCCCATCAGCAGGGAAGTGAAGCCGGAGCCGGTGCCTCCCCCGAAGCTGTGGAAGACCAGGAAGCCCTGGAGCCCAGTGCACTGGTCAGCCTGCGGGGAGAAAGAAGCCAGGTCAGAAACCCAGACGGACGTTACAGAGGCCTGGACCCCAGTCGTCCCCGCCAACCCTCCTCGCGGGCCGCACCAGCTTGCGGACGCGGTCCAGCACGTGGTCGATGATCTCCTTGCCGATGGTGTAGTGCCCACGGGCGTAATTATTGGCCGCATCCTCCTTGCCCGTGATGAGCTGCTCGGGGTGGAAGAGCTGCCGGTAGGGCCCCGTGCGCACCTCGTCTGTGGGACAGGACGAGGGGTTTGGACCCGAGCTCTCCCCAACCTCCCCCTCCAGGGCTGCTTGGCAGCTGCCGCAGGCAGGTGGGGCCATGCCGGGAGCCAAGCGCTTCCCGAGACGCCCGGCAGGTTGGGGGCATCTCCTGTGCCCCCCTCTCAACACAATGCTTTGCCCTGGACCCGGGGGCCACAGGGACCCACCCAGGGGCAGGACAGGGGGGCACCCCCCAGGCAGGCGCCGCGCTCACCGATCACGGTGGGCTCCAGGTCCACGAAGATGGCCCTGGGCACGTGCTTGCCCGCCCCGGTCTCGCAGAAGAAGGTGGTGAAGGAGTCGTCCCCGCCGCCGATGGTCTTGTCGCTGGGCATCTGCCCGTCGGGCTGGATGCCGTGCTCCAGGCAGTACAGCTCCCAGCAGGCGTTGCCCATCTGCACGCCCGCCTGGCCCACGTGGAT